AAATCAGTAGGAACCACTGCTAGCAGTTGGTAAATCTGGATACTGAAGCCTTTTTATTTTTTGCTTTATTCACTCCAACTAACTCTACAGTTATGATACATATTAAGGTTTTTGCTGATTTTCAAGGAGATATTGTGATTTTAATGTTTGAACTAAAATTTAGTTTTGTCCCAAAAATCAATTTGACTAGTATTAGGGCAAGGCTTTTCAACCAGTGGTACGGGTACCACCTGTGGTACATTGGCACCTGGCAGGTGGTACGTGACCATCCTAGAACAGTGGTAGCAGGGGAAGGGAATGAGCTGAACTGGTGGCAGCACCGCACAAGCCTGAGTGAGAGATGGCTGGAGCTGCAGGGCTGTTGGTTCAGCGGAAGCGCCAGGATCAGCGCTTCTTCGGGGCTGTCAGGGCTCAGTGGAAGTGCCAAGATCAGCACCAGGCTCCAGCTGGAGCTCCTTCTGCTGAGCAGGTCCTTCTGCTGAACCCAGAAGAAGCGCCAATCAGCTGGAACACTGCAGCATCTCCAGGGTCTTGTGATTTATATTCAGATGCTTGGCAACTGATTCATATTTATGACGGTCACAGTGTCCCAGGGTCATGTGAAGTGACCAAAACCTGCTGCAACCACCCAGCAGATGGGGGGAATAAAAACCAAACACCCCCCCACCCCACCCCCACTGCCAATCCTCAACAGAAATGCTCACAACAATGAAAACCTCGGACAGGAGGAAGAGCGCCGCCAGGCAGGCAGGCAGGTGTCTTGCTCAGCTGTGCCTTGGAGGGCACTTTTTCAGTGCCATTGTAACTTCGAACAGTCACTAAGCGAACTGTTGTAAGTTGAGTACTACCTGTACTTCCTCTCTTTTTCCTCTTTTTTTTTTTGGTCATCAGGTTTTTGACACCTTGCTAGGCGACTGATGGTACTCGGATGTTGTCATATCCTAAAAGTGGTACAATGGGTGAAAAGGCTGAAAAGCCCTGTATTAGTGCACATATCTGTATTTTGCAATAGAGCGTACATGGAAAAATCCTTTAGGTAATGGTTCCCCATACTGTAAACCAAATCTCTTATTTTCTCAGCCTCTTTGAATCCTATTTATTTATGTATTTGACTTCATACTTTGCAACTATCTTTTTCTCACTGCACCCATTAAGCAATAACTTTCCTTCATCCTTATTTTTGCAGCAATCACATGCATGTTTTTTACAACTTTTCATTTAATCACTCCACCAAGCATCTGTTGCCATGATTTCTGTTATCATAACTCAAACATTTCTGTAATCTTTTCAGTCTTTTACCCAAAAAAATTCATTTGCATTATTTTCCTTCTGTCCATTGTCTTGGTAAATTAATCTATCTTCAGGTTTTTTTCATACAGGTCTTATACTATCTTCTTCAACAATCGTTAAACTTTCCACTTTTGTTTCTTTCCCTTTTTTCTTTTTCTGTATACATTTTTGTACTCCCATTTTCACATTTTTGACACCTTTGTATCCTACCCTATTTATCTAAATCTTTCATCATAAATGATCAAATAATTATTTTAAATTTGAATCTATTTCTTTGCTATTTGTACATATAAATGTACAAATGGCAAAAAAAATTACAAATGTAAATAATATTTACATTTAAAACACATATTCAAAACAGACTTTTTAACAAATACACATTTATTCTCATTCATAACTGAATCTCCTAATAGCCAAATTACTTTTTCTGTACTTTTTTGTTTTCACTCAATAATTCATGTCATTTAAACAGAGAATGTTTCCCTTAGATCGCATTCATTTAGAATGTGCTATAATTTCTCTGAAAACATATCTCTGATTCTTCCATGATCCCCTTTCACTATCATGCAAACATCCCAAAACTTTAGGTGTCTGCATTAATAATAATCAAATAATATTTTCTGTTTTTTTCTAATTCATTCATTCATGCTTTTTACTAAGACCCAGAAGGTGTAGACTAGGTGAGCAGTCTTAGACATATCCTGCTAAGAATAACGAAAGTATTGATCAGCTACGGCATACTTTAGTCAGAATGTCATAAGTGCACCCAAAGTCTCACATATGCTCACAATACTGAGATTTCTAGAGGCTACTTTGCAAGCCAACATACTATTACTTGCAATTCACCAATTCAAAGTACACTGACGTATACTGACACATATTTATATAGACTTAAAATCACTATTCGTTGCTTTATTATTTTATTTACAGGGTCATAAAAGGGTGGTTTTTTAAATGTATTTGATGTAAAAAAGATGTTGAGACTTTAGAGAGAAAACCAACAAAGACGATTAAAGGGTTGGAGGCTAAAACATATAAAGAATGGTTGCAGGAATTGGGTATGTGTAGTCTAGTGAAAAGAAGGATAGGGATGACATGATAGCAGTGTTCCAATATTTGAGGGGCTGCCACAAAGAAGACTGGGTCAACCTATTCTCCAAAGCATCTCACAGCAAGACAAGAAGCAATGAATAGAAATTAATCAAGGAGAAAAGCAAGCTAGAACTAAGGACAGACTTTCTGACAGTGTGAACAATTAACCACTGAAACAGCTTGCCTCCTGAAATTGTGGGTGCTTCATCACTGGAGGTTTTTAAGAGTCCAAGTCCAAAGAAAGTCTAGAATGGTATAGAATTTCCTGCCAAGGGCAGGGAGTTAGACCTCCAAGATACCTTGCAACCCTATTATTCTATGTTCTACATTCAATTTATATAGCCACCCATTTCAAAGCAGTGACTCTGGGTGACAATCGTAGAAACAATTAAAATAGTTAAAACACAATGCAAAAAAAGAAATACAAATACAAATAGCAGCCAAGAGATATGTGTCAAAGTAACCAGAAAATGAAATTCTTTATACATTTATCATGCCTTTTTTATTTATAACTCAAGGCAGTAAATATACTTAACACTTCTGCCTTTTATTTTCTCCACAACGTTAAGGAAGTGGGTTGGCTGAGAGAGTGTGACTACACCAAAATCACCCAGCTGGCTGTCATGCCTAATAAATTGTTAGGTGCACAAAAATATGAGCCACTGCTTTTAGTTGGGCAAGTAAATGTACTTAAGCTCATTTCCAAAATTCCCAATATCTTTATACAATTAGAAGTAAAGAACCAATGGTCCTATACCCAACTTGTCTGTCTTTGGCTACATGAAACCTTTCTTAGGGACTGAGAAGGATAAGGGTAACTCCCCATTACTAGGTTAGATAGTGTGGGTGCACTGCATATCCCCTCCCTTAAATGTTGCCACCTGATAGGACCTTGAAGGTGTGCTTTTCAGTGGCTGCCTGAGCCCTTTGCAACAGCCTCCCACCTAAGATCTGAGGGATCTCTACTCTTTGAGCCTTCCAGAATGCCACTAACCCCTAGTGTAGTAGTACTATATTGGTGTTAATATCATTCTAGTTTAATATTTATCACATTGAGTCATTTCTGGAAGAGGAAGGAAACTTAGTATGCATTTCTGAGTCTTGAAAGGAAGACCAGATTGGAACCGAATTGACCCATTTATGTCTATCTGAATATTAATTTAAAACACCAGAAAAGAAGGCAAAGGGGGGAGCATAACTGTGATCCAAAAAGCCTTCACCTCACATGCAAAAGTTGAAGGTATGTCTTTGATGATTCTGCTGATTTACCATCTACCTATTTGCCATTCAGGCTATCTATAAATTGCTAGAGATAGGAAAAATATTCCTTTGGAGATTTCAACATTCAGACTGCATCATGAGTGTGATCCTGGACAACTGTGACAACATGTAGATATTTTCATATATCACTGGCACAACGTATACTGCAGAAGATATATGCATGGTTTGATCCTGTAATATAAAGAGGATATGATAAACTGAAAGGGTTCATCACCATCTCTCTGTCACAATCAGAAGACTGGATAAATATTGGCTGAACTGATGTAAAGTTTATTAAGATAACCTACCCACCCCTTAAAGTATTAAAAGGTCTGCTAGGAGATTTTCCAAGAAACAGGCTTTGCAATTTGAATAACAAACTAATGCCTTATCATACATGACAACTTTATCCAAAGGAAATGCCTGAGGCTTCAGTGGAACTCTTTACTCCTTGAATTATTTCACCAAAGCAGGAGGAGGAAAAAAGTAAACGTTCCTCAATACTGTAAAATGCGTTTAACAGTTGTCATAGAAACTACTGCTCCCTCTCAGCAGCCTGGAAAATGTGAGGGAAAATGGAGGAATTTTTTATTATTATTAAATCCTAAATAGTGCATTTTGTCTATTCACTTACAAAAGGGTCTACAGGGAATGTATATAGTTTTACAGGTTTGGTTGAAGTTGGTAGGTTTAAAAAAAATCTGGTTTGTCAGATGTTATACAGCTCTGTAACTATATAAACTACCTTGGATGCTCATTCCAAAAAGAAACTCATTTGTCATAGAAAAAAAATTAAAAAAAATAAACTAAAAGAAAACCAATTATAATTATTTACACCAAATAGAAATGCAGAGACAGGAGAAACTCTGCTATTGTAATATGGACATCATTTATAGACTTACACAAATTGTAAATTCACCAATAAATGCAAACTTGTAATAAATAATTTAAATAAATGTGCCAGATTCATGTATTGAGACCAAAATATTATACTGTTACCTTTTAAAATCTGTTCATTTAATGCAAGCAAGATCATATTTTCCTTTTGTTTACATAATCTTTAATATGTAAGATGTTTGGATATTACCCTTCTTTTACCACTTTATAGAGAAGTAAATTGTTTAAGATACAAACAGCACAATCCAATTAGGTTTCTACTCAGAAACTGACTGTGTTCAGTGGGACGCACGTACACTCCCAATAAGCTGGCGTTCAAGTGTAATCACGGAGCCCAAGACTTTATCCTTCCAATTAGAAATCGCGTCTCGAGTCTTGTCATATTTTCAGGGCAAAACCTACTGAGACATCCCACCACCCCCGGCCCCTCCAGAGCGGGCGAAGGAAAAAGCCAAGGATACGCTGTAAGCAAAAGGTGCCTTCCGTGGTCGTCATGGTCGTGACTTCCTCCATGTTGTCCTCTCTAGCAGCTCCCCCCTGACGCGTTCTTGGGTTGCCCCTGGTAACCGCCCGGCCATTTTTTGCGGGAATTCGCGTTGTCAAGCTAGCAAGGCACGCGCGAACTTCCGTTAACGGAATGATTGACGGGAGTGCTAAGGTTGGCGCCGCTCTATCCTCGCTAACTCTGTGATCAGTGACCTGCCCGAGACTTTTCATTGGAGTGTAATTTTATAGGCGAAACGTAGTTTGATCGTTTTGATACGTTCACCTCTCCATCCGTTATCAGGGAGATTCTCGACCGCTTATCTGTTGCTCCTCTATTTGAAGCCCCCTCCCATCGAAAAACAAATAGCTTTAATGCTTATCCAAATACAATACGTAAAAAGCGTTTACCCTGAATCCATTAGTTTTTTGGCGTACGGGCAATGTTTAGTAGCTTGTTTAGCTACGTTCATATTCCTTCGCATTGAAAGGTTACGACCCGAATATTGTTAATCATAAGCAGTATATCTAAATAAAAAGCTTGTTTCTAAAATTCATAAATCTAATTATTTAGCTGTTAGAATGCAATCGTTGCTGTCATTTGGTTATTTTCATATTTTTGCAAACAGTACATTCGGATGTAAGGGTTTTTTTCTTTCTTGTGCTAGCTCTGTAAGTGATGATTTAGTTACAGCATATGAAGGATTTTTTTTTTTAAACCTTCCCTGAATAACCAAATCCACTTCCATATGACTGCCAAGAAAACTGCATGAGTGCAGGGCAATTCAAAATACTGCTAGTAACTTTTAAAACTGACATATCTGTTCATTACATAAAATAATTACATAAAATAATATTGTCTATTTTGCATCATGCCAAGGTAGACTTAATGGTGATGTTAAGAAAACCTTTTTGCCATAGCATCCCAGCAGTGAATTATTTCTTTGGGTGAGCTTTTTTTAGTTACAGTCTCTACAATTCTTCATAGAATCATAGGACTGATGACTCTACTAGTCCAACTCCCTGCTCAAGGTAGGAGTCTTATACTTACCCAGTCAAATGGTTTCCCAGTCTATTTGAAAATCTCCTCAAATCAACCTCATGTTTAAACAATAGTTGCAAATGACTTCACTTTATACTGTATACAAATACCCATCATTTTGTTTCTTTTGAGAATAATCAACATTATGCAGGGGACAGAAAAGGAACATGAAAGAGTATGCCAAATAAATTCTCATCCCTCTCTTTTTCATGATCTCATTGACTCCATACAACCAAAACTGGAATGGGACAACTCGCCAATTAGACTAGGCTAGACTACATGATTTTTTTTTTTGTAATATTTTATTGATTTTCTAATTTTACATTTAAGTATTTAAAAAGTAATGTGGCGGCTGGGTTAATAAATAATTCAATAATATACAAAAATCTTTAGTACAAATCGCAAACTACCACATCAAATATTTCTTCTTATTTTCCCTTAATATCTACTGTCTCATATTTAAACTAATACAATTCTTATTATATCAATTAAGTAAAGATAGCATTGTTACATTTATCAATAAATTTTTAGCTTATGCATATCCTAGTTACTTTAACATTCAATCTTTATAGACAATCAATGTCCTGTAGTTAGTTTTTCCCAATTTTTAGTTTCCCATCGATATTTAAATTTAACTTTTGATATTTATAATTTCCAAATTTTAGATAACCAAAGTTTCCTTTATCACAATTCATAACAACAAAGTTTAATATTCAAGATACACATCTTATCTATTTGAGTATATTCTATTTCCCACCATCTTACATCATCTAATTAATAATACAGTATAACATTTCTTATTTTCGACTAGTTTCCAAATGTCTTAAATTTAATGACCAAAATTTCCCCTATTTCAACTTCAAATATTTCCTCTTTTTCTCTTGATATCTACTATCTCATATTTAAGCTTTATTATCTCAAGTAAAAACATGTTTAATACATTTATCAATAATTTTTAGCTTATTACGTATCTTAATTACTTTTACATTCATCTTTATAAACAATATCTTATTTATTTGTTTTCCCCAATTTTTAATTTCTCATCAATATTCAGATTTAACTTTTAATATTTATACTTCCAAGTTTTAAATGACCAAAGTTTTCTTTATCTCAATTCCTAACAAAATCTGGTATTCGCAATACACATCTTGTCTATTTAAGTATATTCTATTTTAATTGGTAATATAAAATCCTTGCTAATAAATCAAAACCCCAATTTTCTTCAGCCTTATTCTAGTTTTCTTCTTTTGCCAGCTTGCCTTCCATGTCAGTGATTTAAGTCATCAAATAGATCTCCCTCTGTTATTATATATATTATTTGAAATAAAAGAGAACATCCAGTCACCAGTTTTTTTGGAAGGGCTAGCGAATCGTCTCTCTATTATTCCAGATCCCCATAATTGTCCTGATATGTTTGTTTTCTCTTTGGTCTGTTCTTCTTCTTGCTCCTCAAGTTTCTTCTGGTTTATATAGAAAGACTTTTCCATTTTCACTGTTATCAATCCCTTTTCTGGATTTTCCATTGACTGTATTTGTTGGTCAGTTAAATCCTCTGTCATAATATTTAATTGTTCCACTTCTGTTATGTTCTGTGTAGTTGATTCTTTAATTGTAGTCAAAATTTGGGTTTGTGTATCTAGACTGACATCTTGTTCTTTTCTGCAGCTTCTTATTTCATCACAGGCTGAAAGAATGGTTTCATGTATTGCTTTTAACATAAGAAGAATCTGTTCCTGGTCTTCATCCATATTCTCTTAGTTAAATTAAGAGCTTTAAAGTCAGAAAATGAAAATAATTTTGTAACTGAGTATAGAACACAACTGCGCTTCTCACAGCTGATAATTGTCAAGGTTGAAAAAGTCTTATCTATAGTCTGGGCTTCAGGCCAAGTCTCTTTAGACCAGGTATGTCAAACTCGCGACATCACGTGACGTCGCACAACGTATCAGGTCGGTTTTGCCATTGCCGGCAATGGGGTGGGCGTGGCTTCCACGTGATGCGTCCGGCCCGCGGGACGGCAGTTTGACACCCCTGCTTTAGACAATAACAAGTTGTAATATCAAACTTGGCCACAAGATGTCACCAATGCCATTTAAGTTTTTTTAAGTCCAAAAGTTTTATAATCCTTTTTTCAATTTTATTTCTTTTTTTATAAATAAAAACCAAGGTCTTCAGTAAAGCTAAGAAATCTTTTGGTTCCCAAATTTTAGAAGCATATAAATCCAGTTAGATTAAGGTTATTCTTTCAGTGTTTTAACTCCCCTGGATAGTCAGTCGCCACTATTCTTAGAGGGTGGGATAGAAGTTCCCTTCCCCCTCTCCTTACAGGGGGAAAAATACTTTGGGCAGCTTTTGCAGGAGAAAAAAAACTTGGGATTAAAGAGAGGTTCAGATCTCACCCAGTCTCATCCGCACTGCTTTGGAGTGCCTGGTGGTAAGTTTGACTTCAGCTGTCTACAGCCTAGTGATGAGCTATATTTCTATGGTTGGTCTTTCGTCCGCCGATTTGAAGGGCTGTCCTGGATCGGGCGCCCTCCTACGATCAAGTGGGGGTCCCCTCCTTGCTGGTTGCCCCTACAGGGTGACATTCGACCCTTTCTAGGCTCTCCCAGTGGTGCGAAACTGACCATGGAAAACGGAGCTTGCCTTCCAGCGGCCGCAGTGGCCGCGATGGCAAACCTGGCTAGACTACATGAATTTGACTATTTGAATCCGTCTAGAGCTGACAAGTATTCTCTTACCTTATTTTTGCATATTTTAATTTCCATTCCTAACCTGTCATTTACAGTTCAGTTTTTGGTAGGTTATGTTTTCTTTTTGTGTGAAGACAGATGCAAAGTAAAAATTGAGTAGTTCTGCTTTCTCTCTATTGCCTGTTACTTCTTTGCCATCTTCTCCCATTAATGGACTGATTGTTTCTTTGACTTTCTTCTTATTTTTTATGTGTTGAAAGAAACTTTTTTTTTATTGTTTTTGACATTTGCTGCAAGTCTTACTTTGTTCAAAGCCTTAGCTTTCCTAACTTCATCTTTGCAGGTTCAGGCTCTTTGGGTGGTATCCTGCTTTAGTTACATGTCCCTCCTTCCATTTTTTGTACTTATCCTTTTTTCTCTCACAATGTGAGAGAAAATCACAATGTGATTTTTCTTGTTTTTCTTTTTTTCAGTGTATTGAACTGGGATGGGCTTTTATAACTGTTTTTCCAGAGTTTCCCAAGCTTCTTGAGTTGATTTCCCCTTTAAGATTTTCATCCATGAAATCATTCCCAAGCTGAGATTGTTAAAATCAGCTCTTTTAAGTCTGGGACACTGGTTTGATTATGTTCTGCTGCTTATTCTGTTTTATATCGAATTCTAATATGACATGGTCACTGCCCCCTAAAGTTCCTGAAACTTCAACCCCCTTTATCACTTCTTCTCTGTTGGTAAGTATAAGGTCTTGTACAGTGTCCCTCTAGTTGCCTCCTCTACCTTTTGGTTAATGAAGTTGTCAGCTAGGTGTCAGGAATCTGTTCAATCTCCCATTTGTTGCAGAGTTTGTCTGCTACTTGATATCAGGGTAGTTAAAGTCCCCCATAACTACTGTAGTGTGTTTCCTACATACATTGGTTAACTGATTAACAAAAAGTTGATACATGTAGATACATAAATGTACTGTAAATTAGTATTCTTAAATATGACACTTGTTTTCTGTTGCTTTTCTTTTCAACAAAAAAATAAAGTATAAATTAAATAAACGTTATATCATTATTTTTTAATTATGCATTAGAGATTATTAAGATGTTTCCAATGTTGGCATTTGATCTCACTGCAATTTTCTAATTCAAAAATATGAAATATTTTGTACATGTTTCTTTTAAGTTTTTAACCTTATCTTAAAGTGAAATGAAAATGGTGACACCTCCTGTTTAAGAAAGGAAACTATTCTAAAAGGTGTATTTCTTTCACAGATTGGATAATATTTTTCTGTGGTTACAGTGTAGTATGTTATAATGCAGAATATTTATTAA